GAAAATTAAAACCATATATTTAAAAACAAGTAAAAAATTTCCTTGAGACAGTAAATATAAAATAGTAATGTGTTTTAAGTATATTAAAAATTGGATATTCCCCTTTACATACAAAATAAATATAAGATTATATATATATATATAATCTTGAATTATTTTATTTTAAACTGTAAGTTCGTGCGCGCTTAATCCCGTTAAGTACAAAAAATAATTTATGTATGTTCCTATTTTTTTCAAAGCTTAATTACAATAATCTGACTCAATTATCTACTTTTATGACTATTTCCTCACATTATCAGAGATAATGTAGAAATTCTAGAGATATATTTCCATTTATTGCCGTCTTTTTTGTATACACTTGCACATTTGCAATTATTATTTCCATAATATAAATAATTTATTTTTAAATTTAATTTCAGAACGATGGCATACAAATGCAGCTTAGTAAATTAAACATAAATTGTTAATTCACAAATTGTTAAATACTTTTTGTTAATATATTATGGACAACAAAAAGTATGTATAAAAACTCATCAGAAATCACAACTGTTTATTGTTTATTTGATAATAGCATACTAATGCGCGTAAACGCAATTCGCATTGCGGAAACGAAAGCTAGGCTTTGAAGTAAGAACACTCGTTAACGAGCTCGTTAACGCGACGGAGGAGTCTAAACAAAGAGATAGAGCGAGTAGTTGAAAGTATTGATAACGACATCTCGAGTAAAAAAAAAAGAGCGAGGACTCGCGGCTATTCTGTGCCAACAGAGCAGAAGTCACACGAAAAGTTTCAGCAAATTTATTAGTGAAATTATTGCACAGAGAGTTTGTCCGACATTTTCCCATGCTTTATCATCATGCATTTAACATCAGAGGAGTCAACTTTTTGTCAATAGAGTGTTACCGAACCGACAATCTTTCGTTTGAATTGTAAAATAAAAAGTTCTTTGTAATCTGAACATTTAAAGTATAATTAAACGAGAAAATCTTATCGTTCATTTGAATTTAAGTGGACTTTGCGAAACTTTCTGCTTAAAACGTATTCGCATTCAAATAAAGATACCGAATTAAGTTTAAAATAGAAAAATAAAGCAAAAAATAAAAATGTTCAGCAAAAAAACAGAAAGTTCTTACATATTCATCCAATATAATTAATTGAAAGCAATCTTGTTATGAGTCGGTGTTAATTGTGACGTGTGAATAAAAAAATGATGCCGTACGCAATTTAACTTATCGGACTCAATTAACAAAGAGATCTATTCACCAATTGATGCATCGCCGTTACTCTCTCGCCGACTGCTCCAGATGCTGTTTTATCCATGTCGCCGGATGCTAAAAGCATTGTCACTTGTTTTGATCGAAAAATTCAATACTTCCGTCACGCGGAATTCAACAAAAATCGTAGAGCAAAATATCGCAAGATAGATGTTAAAGCAAGAAATCGCAATTTCTCCCGAAAACGTTCCTAAATAAACGGTAATAAATTAAATGTATTATTTGTGTTAACTACAATATATATTAATAATATCCTCGGTTTACAATCTTTTTTACTCTCTCCATCTGCAATCTGAGTTTCTTTTGTTCAGCCCATATTTATTACTGTTCTAAATTTAAAAAAAAATGTGGCAAAATTCGGGGTTACTTTTAACATCCCTACTATATTATTATCAAACAATTTAACTCAAATGTTAAAATCTTGATTTAATAAAAATTGAAATTTAAGCCGAAATAAAGAAAAAATAAAAATTTATTTAAAAATATACAATTTAGCAAAAATAAAAACCGGAGCATAAATGCAAAAGGAGAGTAACAGAAGCATAAAAAAAAAAATAAAGCTTCCAGAAAGTGAAAATTGAACGAAATACAAAAGTGTTTACGCTTCTTTTATGTTGTCTCAATTTTCGTTTGTTAGAAGTTTCATTTCAGTTTTTTTTTTTTATTGAGTTTCATTTCTGTTATTTTCCCCTTACATTCCGATTTTTATTTTCGCCAAGGTAGCAATAAAGAAACCGGACGATAAATGTTCAGAAGTGGTGCTTTCTAAAAACCACGGTTTTTTTCTGCAAGAATAAACAAAAACTAATTATAAAAAGACATGTGTATTATGTTTTAAAAGGGAAGTTGTGGTTTTTGTGGGAAAAAATTCTATTTCAAAAACAATTAAGACAGTTTTATTTTTGAATGTGTGTCATGTCATGCTCCTAAGCAGAGAGGGGAGGTGGGATGGACTTCGTTTTCGCGGAAAACGTATGGATGAGGACAATACTCTCCCCCCAAAAAATATAATCTAACTCAACCCATATTTAGTATTGGCCCTCGTTTTGTAAAGTGTACGCAAGCTATTCAATATTAAAATATAAGTTGCCTCCATACATACACTAACGAGGAATGAGAACTATCATTTATCGTTGACGAGACTTAAAAATTCGTATAGTCGCATATTGAAAGCTGTTAGCAAACTGCGAAAACTACTATATGTCGACTGTTTACAAAATACTTACGACTTTCCGTAATTTTCTAACTTTGTTTACATTTATCAAAAGATTAGTACAACATGCAATAAGAACAAAAAAAGTATTCGTACAAGAGAATTTGTTATAAAAAAAAGTCTTTGTAGAAAATAAACATTAATTTTATACAATAAATACATTCTGTTCTAACAAATAAACGAGCTTCGTATGTATGATTCTAGAAACTTTCACGTTTGTACGAATACTTTTTGAGCATTCAAACAATACGAATACTTTTTAATTTTCGCTTATTTTTCAGATGATATATTTGGTATACACATCTAATTAATACACATCTTTTTGGTATATATAATTTTAAGAAATATATAATCTATTTTATTCTTTATGAATAAATTGTTAATTATCCAACAAAAAATGAAATTTAACATTGTCAATTAAACATTGAATCGACGTCAAATTGATGTTGAAATCATCGTATTTACATTGATTCGACATTAATTCGATGACTCATTTCTCGCTGAATAATATTTACTTTTTAAAAATGAAGTTCTTTTAAAAAATATTTTCTACGAATACCTTTGCATTCATTGTATATAAAACTTCACTATTCGTAATATATTTCTTATATCAATACTATTCTCTACATATTATAAAATTTTAATTTATATCTCCTAAACCAATGCCATTCCCCACTTAAGGCTCCTAACTACATGTACATACATATCCATGTATCATGCGTGCGTGCGTGCGTGCGTGCGTGCGTGCGTGCGTGCGTGCCTGCGTGCGTGCGTGCGTGCGTGCGTGCGTGTGTGTCTGTGTGTGTGTGTGTGTGTGTGTGTGTATATTACAGCGCTTCGCCACGATAAATAACTAAATTATAGACATGGAAAAGTGATGAAATTTATGTTGCATGTCATTTCGTTATTATTTGCTTAATTATGAAAATGTGACGTACGTGTCTCGTACTTATCAAAATAATTATCAACGAAAACTAAAGTATCTTGGAATTTTACATGTAAAAATGTATATTTTATTCGTTTCAACAGCTGTCAGACCGTGTGTTTCTGCTCGAACATTTTACGTGCCATTTACGACCATTTACTGACTGTCAAGGGAGGAAAGGACAGTTTTTGTCGATATTTTTACAAGTGCTTTAAAGAGATTCCATCATTTCGTTTTATCCAAATTATCTTTATTTAAAAATAGCATGCAATATAAATTAATGTGTATTTCTCGCTTCTAACGTCACAATTCCAACATGGCCGCCGCGACTAGTCAGCAGCCTTAATTCTTGCGAGAAATCATTCAGGACACTCTCCACTACACATATCTAAAGGACACTCAAATCGGTCAGGTGTAACTTAAAATATACCAAATAAAAAATAAAACTATCTTATTCGTATTTGAAGCATTTTTTTCCCACAAAAATCATAATTCCCTCCCACTCCCCTCTTAAAATATGATATATATGTTTTTTTATAACTATATTTATCTATTACTGAAAAAAAATCGCGGTTTTTGAAGGAGCACCATTTCTGAACAATCGGGCTTCGTTTTCCTTTGTTTTGGGGAAATTTGAAAATTTGTTTTTTTTACTTGTACCAAAAAAAAACCAGGTTTCAGACGGAGAGTTAATTACATTATTATATGTATATTATTTAAATTATTCTTACAATCAGTGCTGAGATTTATTTGTACATTTCAACCGATTTTCAGCTTGGTTCTTGTCCTTTACTTCACCAATTCGCGCAGCAATTAGCATTTAAGCTACGCGCGGATCGGTGAAGTAAGGGACAGAAACCAAACTGAAAATCGACAGAAATGTGCAAGTAAATCCCAGCACTGCAATTAAATCGTATAATTTCTCTCTGGGTAAAAATGAAGCTCGATACGCGCGTGGAGCTTCATTCAGACCGCAGCAACTTCACTACGTTTGTGACGCGAGATATTCTTCCCGATTGCTGAATTACACAGCGAAAACCATTTTGTTCTCAATTAGTCCGACAATGTATTCAATGTTCGATCGTTTCTTGCACGATTCCGGTACTCTCTACATAGTCGACACATTAATCACGGCTCAACAAAAAACACGAAGCGATTTCTGCCAAGACTGATGGCGAAGCGTTTGAAATTTCACTTGTATAAAAAAAATCCAGATTGCACGGAGAGTTAATTACATTACTTATACATATAGTATATTATTTGAGTTATCCTTACAAGATAAATCGTATAATTTTTAATTCCAGGTAAAAATTAAGTTCAATTCGCGCGTGAAGCTCCCTTCAAGCCGCAACAATTTCACTCGCGAGATATTCTCGATCGCAGAATTATACATCGAAAACTTCATTAATTCAAATAATAGTTCTCAATGTTCGATCACTTCTTGCACGATTCCGATACTCTCGACATCCGAGCGCGAATGGCAGACGAAAAACATAGAGTGATTTTTACCAAAACAAAATATATATACGCGGAGCCGAGCATTACGTCTGCACTTATGTGAATACTGTGAATAGTGTGAACGTACAACTGAGGCATGAGCTGCCCATGATCCTCTTCCCCCACTTTCCATCACTCGCGCAATCGAATATCGTAACAACAGCACGTTATTATTTTTCGAGTCATAATTTCAAAGATAATATGTGATTAAGGCTATCGTATGTGTGATAAGAGGAATAAACGAAACGATTTATGCGGTAATAAAATCTCACCACGTACATGACGAAAGATGTTCCCTCGTATCACTCGAGTATCGGAAAGGAGCAACGAATGATTATCTCGTAATTACTTGAAAATATACTCGATGTAGCTACACATAAATATAGATAATATTCGATTGCTTGTCGCATGATTCGGCACTCCTGATATTCACTCATGAAGATTCGTTACACAACATGAGATTCGTTAAAAAATACGAAATAATCGCATGCCAAGACATTCCAAGCTACCGTGACGCGTTGCGATTTTACAAATGAAATGAAATGCAAAACGGCCGGGACGTAACGTCACACGTATGTACTACGTCACGCGCCTGCAACAGTTGAAACAAAAACTAAAACTCTATTCTTTCCATCGGCCAAGTATCGCGCCAACAGTAGCGTTAATAATTCTCGAATAAAATGCTGCATTCAACAAAAAAAGCAGTTTTGCTTGTGCCCGTAATAAATAATATTATCATGAGTGGCTTTGGTAGCTTTGGAGCCTTGATTGAAAAAGAAGAGAAACAGGTGTCGAAAATATTCATTTTTGTCGATTTAGCATTTCATTTCTTAAGCCTAAATATTTATTAGAATTAAAATATAAAAACAATTGATGGAAACAGACATGTAGAACAGAGAAAAAACTTTCGAATAGTACTTATGTGACATTTTGCCAAATGCATCACCTCGGCAAAAAAACTTGATCTTGAAAAAAATGGCAACAACTTGTGGAAACAACCATTTAGATTCAATAGGAACTAAAAGTAAGAATTCCGATCATACAATATTAAAGAACCTTACAGCAGTTGCAAAATTGCTTTTCTTGCTAAACGCAGCTATCAATTTCAAAGTCCGATGATTAAAACTGCATTTCTTCCGATTGTATTTCTTATAAGAAATATAATGTAAGAAATATAATACGAACAGAGTTCGGTTATATTTAAAATAAAGTTATCTAAGATATATTTTTTAAATAAAAAAAAATGCAAGTTATTTAATATTTATTATTTTAAATAATTTCTTCCGACCTATTTCTTTTATTTAATATTTTTAATAAGTCATATCAGTTTTTCACCGTTTTCTATGATTTTATAATGTTTTTTAAATAAGTTTCTGGAACCTATTTTATATTTTTTATTTTAAATAAGTCGTATCAGTTATTTTACCGAGCCCTAAAAATACGTGTAAACATGTCTACAAACGACTTCATTCGTGTTCGCAACACAAGATATTAGGCCTGGTCTACAATCAGTCGGGCAATGTTATCGTATGTCGTGTGCAACCTTCATTTTTCGTGTCGATGTCGGCTACGTTTGGATTGGTCAGGTCCCATCTTTTATATCTAACGATATCCGACAAGCATCTTGATTGATCAGCTGACTTTATTGTAGGCCTTAAGTGGATCTGTTTATATGCATACCTTTTTTCACTCAGAATCTTCATTTTCTCACTGTTTAACGCTCGAATATGCATATATCTATTTTGTTTTAGATACAAAATATACGAAAAATTTTAAAAGTTTCAAGTAACACGAACGATCCATTATTTTCTATTAATTTCTAAACTTGGATATCGAGAATAAATAATCAAGCTTTACCCAGACAGCACATAATATTTATAAAGCACAAATATTTACAAAATATTTATAAATATTTAGAAGGCTTATTTTAATATATTTTAAATTTTTATGGTTTTAGATTGCATAGATTATAAACATTTATTCTAAATATTATGAAATATTTATTGTAAATAATTAAATATTTCTTGCAATAAAAATGCTTTGAAAATACTTAATAAGACATTATATTTCAAATAAATACTCTTAACAGAAATTTATTTATATTTATATTTATTTATATTTATCATAAATATTACATTAAATATTTAATTTATCTTTTAATATTTCGAATAAAGCTTTATATAAAATATGTATAAAATATTTATATAACATTTCAAAAAATGAATAATAAATATTTATCATAAATATTCGGTGCTGTCAGGATAACATATATCTTAATTATCGTATCTTAATCTAAAAATTTATTTAATTCCAATGCTCGATTGCCTATTACACGATTCAAGTATTCATTTAAAATTCTTCGAAAAATACGTGTAAAAATTTATAGATATAGAGATAGAGGTAGAGATCTGAAAATAATTTTGTTAAATATTAAAATAATTTCAAGCATGAATTCAATAAAGTTTTGACATTCTAGCAATTTACATTCTACATAATTATTTTAACTTTAATTAATATTTATAATATTACAGTAGAGTACAAAAACAATGATATATAAATAGAGTAAGATAATAAGAATAAAACAATAATATAAGTAGAGTAAGATAAGAATGTACAGTAAGATAATTTATATAAATATGTATTACATACATATATAATATAATATATACAGGGAGAAAATATGTATTCTTTTCTCTTTTGTAAGATTTCACAAAATTGGCTAGATTCTATATAAAATTTCCAGAATCTACATTAAAAACATTTGATTAATGAACATCTGTACACTGAAAACACTAAATAATTTACCTCAAATGAAATCTAATATACGAAAAATATTCGATATGCGTATCGCTAACTTAGGCACACTCGAAATATTCTTTCAATAAATCCGTATCTTAATAAAACGAAAAATACTCAATGTTTCCGATATTCGATCACTCACTATATTAAATTATTTGGTATTCCTATTCATCAACGAGATTTAGCAAGAAATTCAATGGCAGTATAAATTTCTTCATAAAATGTCGATAATTGTTCAACTTGATTATAATTCGAAGAAATTATAAAAAAAATATAAATTTAATAATTCTATTAAATGTTATATATCCATTTTTTAATTTTATGTGATTACTTTTAAAGTTTATATAACCCATTTTTGGATTGATCTGTAAAAATCAGTACAATCGATAAAATTAAAACACATATCAATCAAGTCGCAACAAATTAAATTAAAATTCACGTAGAATCTCTTACAATTTTGAGAAATTTCTATCAAGCTTTGTATATAATAACATAATAGATAATGGAAATAAGTTCGTTGGATGAAATGCAAAAATGATAATAATTAATCGTTCCTAGAAATAGATTTCAGATCCGTAAAAAGAAATTTTTATGATGAATTCTCTCGCACACATTAAAATAGTACATATTAAAGATTGCTTTATATAAAGTATATAAATGCAATGATATAATGTAATTAACTTTGACTATAAAATAATGTATATTCTCTCTCTCTCTCTCTCTCTCTCTCTCTCTCTCTCTCTCTCTCTCTTTCGCACTTTCTCTTCTTAATTTCTTTCCAGAGCCAAAGTATAGGAGATCCGATTCGAACACACGTCACGCTCGTGGAAAAAATAGAAACGACAAGCCGAAACATGCGTCACATCCTGGGCGTCGCGACGATTCTCCTTCGTCTAATAAATATTTAGTAAATATTACCAAATGATGATAGTTTAGTAATACTTATTAAATATTTGTAAAAGTAACATTATTTTTGGTTATATTAACCAAACATTTGATTGGCATTATTTCACCATACATTTAGTAGCTATTATCATAGATGCAGACTTCGAGCGATCAATCATTACTAAGAAAATGTAATTGCTAATGGTGATAATACAATACATTGTATTGCTAGCATTGCTATTGTATTGCTAGTCTTGTTTTCCTATGTATGCACACAATATTGCCAAGTATTGTTAATGCACTACTATACATATATGACTAGTATATTGCTAACGTATTGTTAGTACTGCTACTGCTAGCATTGCCTGTTTTATTACTGTAGTACAATATATTTTTTTTTAAATGTACACTGATTGCTATAGTGATTGATCCCTCGCCAGACTCTTTTTTTCAGTATATGATAAGGAATAATGAACATACTCATAATAAATGATTATGTCTCAAGCTCTATAATAAAAGTAGCGCATATTCTTTGATCTGAGCCGAAATCCCGACACACTTCTTTCCTATTAGCTATTTCAACTGCCATTTTGGACTTAGTTATCTGTAATTTAATGAGCCCTTAGTATTATTTGTATATGATATGGTTAATCTCCACACAATATGGCGGACAATATGGCTTTTATTAATATAAAAGCGCTACTTTTATTAATATAAAGCTTTATGTATATCTATTCGAAAAACTCTTGTGTCTAATAAAATAAAAATCTCAGAACTTTGTGAGGTTATAGAATGTCTCAACAAATATTGCCTACTTTGTAGATATTATTAGATGTAGTAAAAAGAAATTATTTTTCCATTCAATTTTATACAAAAATAATGGATTTCTTTTTACTACACCTAATACTTTGTAGATATACACGCAGAACGAAATATCTTATCTCAATGTAGCTTGGGAACCTTCTGAAGTTAGGAGAAAAAAACGTAAGAAAATAACACGTACCTGCTTATAGGCCAGTCGCCAAAAGTTTTAAAAAGGAAAAAATTATTTACAGGTATTTTATTGTTTTAATCGACACCCCTTAATGTTGTAGCATTTTTAAATTTAGTCTTTTTATATCTCAAACTGTCAATTAAAACAATAAAATACCTGTAAATAATTTCTTCCTTTTTTGCCGCCAATTTCATCTCTAACGACTAGTCTATTATTTAAATTATGATATGATAAAAATCTGAAGGAGGGTGCAAATTTTCGAGGTTGCCTAATCACTTGGGGATCGTTTTA